GTACCCTTCAGCAGTGGTCGCACTCCCCCGCTTCCAATTCTAGCCAGCTTTTCCGTGCTACCGCATAGCATCGCTTGGTGTCGCCAAGTGTCGCCTGCGGTCGTCGACCGCGCTTGCTGTCGCTCTGTGTCGCAGCGACGGCGAGTAAAATTGACTAAAGTCGCTCGCTGCGCTTGTCGCCTCAAATCTCATTTTTTAATGGTGTCACTTGCTGCCCAAGAGAGACATTTCGCAATCGCTGCACAGGCGGAGCCGGACTGAGCATTGCACCCTCATGGACTCACCCTCTTAAGGATTGAAAAGGGGGAGGTGACATCATCGGAGAAGGCCATTATTACGCCCAGCTCCGCCAATCGAAGCTAGCGTTTGCAACTGCGAGTGCAAATACAACCCAAACCCTTCAGCTGCGGCTATTTGCTGTTTCAGTACCTTACGACACCACCCTTTCGGCTTCCCACTGCCCACCCCTCCACGGCGACTCTCCGCCCTGCATAATTACGTCTTTTGAACTTCAGAGTAAGGTAGGCAAGCGCTCCAAAAGTACATCCGTCAAGTATATTTTTTACTCTCGTTTGTTAACACCCTGAGTATTCTTTTTTTGTCAATGGTACGCCTTGAGTGTGATCATAAATAAATAAGTAATTAAATAAGCCACGAACTTGACGAGGGCTTCGGCCTGCCGCACATCCTTCCATCGCTGGGCCACTGCATCGAGTCGAGACTGGACCTCGGTGCGATCTTTTCCGGACTCGAGTCCAGCGCCGAGTTTTCGCCCCATTTCGTCCACTGCTTTCAGCACTTCTTCATGAGCATTCAGTTCGGCTTCCAGCGACTGAAATTCCAGAAAATAGAAAAAAGAAACATCAAATAGTAAGAAAAAAGCAACCCGGTCCTTTCATAAGCCCTAAACGCTCCTGTTCATAATCACATCTTGTAACGATACTCCCTTATTTTCTGCCTGAACTAAAACTCTATCCAGTTCAAAGAACCATACCTACAGTTTCTAATGCCCCCTTGGGATAGCTACCTGAAGCTGATACATTCTTGTAGATATCTAACCGAGAAAATCTACTCTATTTTCTTTTCTTCATTTTTTGATTGTTTTCTTCGTGGTCAGGAGGATGTATAGGCAAAACCTTGACTCAAGAAGATGACCTTTTTGTTCCATTGTGGATTCTTAATTTTACCTTATGCTGTTGAATCCACTCGCGCCGCTTAGCGGTATCCTTTAGCGA